CCATCTCTCCAGCCCCCAGAACCCCCTATTTTTACATCTGGCATTATGTATGTTATATTTTGTTTTGTTTAGAAACCACCTATTTAGGTAAGTCACTGTTTCTGAAGACACCATGCACTTCAGACACAGGGCAGTGACCTGAAAGCCTGCTCCCTGAGGAGTAGCTTTAGTGATTCTAGAAGGTTCCATAAAAGCTTCCAAGAGTGGGAAACAGCAAACAGTACTGTCACAGCAGTGACCAGCATGGCATGGCACAGATACCTTAGCTGTTAACAACCTACTTAACAGGAGGGGAACCTGCCTGGTAAGAAAATCGGCTGACTTCCCAGGGCCAGTGAGATCACTGATGTTGGAGAAGACCCTACAAAACCCATTTTAATAAACAGCATGATCCCAAGTACATTCTAAATGTTTGTCCTTAAACCCACATATAAGTGTAGTCTTCACTCCTCATCAATGAAAATTCTTTTTGCAACAGATGAAAACCAGCATCAACCAAAATGCAAAGTTGTGGAGCCCAGATCAACTGATACATTACAGTTCAACTCTTGCACTTAAGGCCCAGGGATCCTTGTAGAAGAGGGAGCAGAAAGAATAAAGGAGCCAGGGGATCAGGGAGTTTGTTATGAGATTGTGTTTCCTAGGAATTTCAGAAGCTACACTCATAAAGTCTCACCAACATGACTGTCTAAACATGACCTGAACAAGGACCATACCAACAGGCATAGAAGTGTGCATTGAAAATCTCAGGAAGCTTCAACATGACACAAAGATTCTAGGTAAATAAGGATTGCAGAGAGCAGGAGAAATAGTCTTCCTCAGGATAGAGCACAACAACTGATTATCTAATGCCGAATGGTCAGCCCTGAAAACATATACATACAGGTAACCTTATGCAGATTCAGGGTTCTTGAAGAGAAAGGAGCTGTTGGGTCAAGTTTGGGCTACAAAGCATTGCACATGTGTGGGGTACATGTACACTACTTTCTGCTCTATCTAAAATACACAAATCCTCTGTGTGTAGGATGACAAAAAAGTGACATGGACATAATGGTAAATCCTACTACAGTATTGTCTCACGAAGAAATCTGTTAAGTCACCAGTAGAGCCATACACTATACAAAAATGTTAAAATAGCATGAGCATACATTTTGCTAACTGTGGTGTGTGTGTGTGTGTGTGTGTGTGTGTGTGTGTGTGTGTGTGAGTGTGTGTGTTTAAGAATTCTCCATGCATCCAGTGTACAGGTCTGTGAGATGAGTGACATCATTAATCTGGTAAAACTTTCTGAGGGTTAACTTAGGGCCATGAAGATACAGACTTGAAAGCATTTAGGATCTAGGAACTTAGGAAAATGAACAGAGATCAAGTGGCTGGAGGAAACAAAGCACTGAACAGTCCTTTTCTTGGATGGCTGTGTTCTCTGTCAAACAAACCAGAATCACGTGCTAAGATCTGGGGTCTACACTTTTTCCAAGAAGCAACCTTCCTACCAAAGTCAGGTGTGAATGGGAAACTCAAGTTTTGTGGCCATGCCTAGAGTGTGCAAGGTTACCTGAACTATACAAAACCTTCTCCATATTCCACCTTAGGCCTCTGTCACAAAGGGCACCTTCCATCCCAGCCCTTCCTATAGACTTCTCTAATGTCTGAGGCAAATCCGTACCAGTGTTACACCCTGAGGTTCTACAAAATATCACTTAATGGAGGGCATGGGGAGCTTTTTGCAAACTGGAGCCAGCTTGGCAGAGCACAGGAAGGAAACTATAGGTTTTTCTATTTGTGGGAAATGAATCTTTCAGTCTCAGAACCATCAGTTCTCATTTACAAAACCATCTTTCCATAAAACACACGTCCAACTAGCTGAAAAGCAAGCTACCTGTGAAATGACCTTAGATAGACAAAACGAAATGCCTGAGACACACCACTTTCAAAGAAAAGTTTACTTAGCTTAAAGTTGCAGAGGTTTCCAGTCATGATTAGTTGACCCCCTCTCCCCCATAGTTTTGGACATATGACAAGGCAAGATGTCATAAAGGAGCATTTGAGGGAGAAAGCTGCTCCTTTTGTGGCAGATGAGAGGCAAACAGTGTGAGAGGAAAAGACCAAGGTCCCACAGTGACCTAAGACCTCATACACGGCCCCACCATTAAGTTCTCAGCATCTCCCACTAGCTTCACACTGCAAACAACAGTTACACAACTACCTTTGAGGGACAGCCGAGATCCAAACTACCCTCATTTTCTTTTCGCAAACAGAAAGGAAAGATGATAATTAAAAGCTGATGTGGGGTCAGGGATACAGGTTACATTGCTTCTAGATCACCAGGTAAGCTGAAGATAGCTGATCTTTGCCAGCAACACGACCATAGTCATGTGTAGACTAATCTGGAAATAATCTCAAATGGAGTATCCCTATTGTGAAGTAGGTTTGTGGGGTTTTTTGATTTGTTTGTTTTTGCATTTCTCTGTGTCTTGTATCTGTTATGTACTTGGGAAATAGTCCAAATGTATATTGCTTTAAGAAAGAAACAAAGTAGAAGGGAAGCTACAAATACAAGAAGAAAAGATGGCCAACCTTCCCTGACATGGGACAAAGAAGAAGCAAGAGTAAGCAAGCAAAGATGTCAATCACTAGTATTCTTGTTTCCCTCAACCTCTCCTTAGACCTCAGTGTTGAGGCAAAGCAGGATGATGGTACTTTGGTCAGTGAGAAAGGCTGTTCTTTTTTTTTTTTTTTTTGAAAAAGGCTGTTTCTATGAGATCCTTAGCATGTGACAGGGGCTTAACTCTTACTGTTTCTTTGTCTCTGAGCACTTCCTTCAGTCTTTAGAAGAGAGCAGAAGACTGCAACTACAGCTAATGGCAATGATTAGTATTCAGTTAAAGGTGCCTCCAAACACCCGGGAAGATGTGGCTTGAAATTATGCTGTGGCAAGCACAAGCCAATTACTCTATGGCAGGAGCCTGTGGGGCTCTGGAGCCACCTACCCAAACCAAGGAGCAACCCCATTGACTGCAGCACCGTTTATGAGACCTTCTTTGTATGAGTGGGGATTAAGAACCTTGGAGAAAGGGCTTAGACCTGATTAGGATGCAGTGTTTTAACAGCATGGCTTCTAGCTACCTTCCACTGAACAGAGACTACAGACAATGAGGCCCTGAGGAAATCCAGAGGTGAGAAATGAGCATTGTGTGAAGTAAATGAGGCGCTAACTGCCTGGACACCGGTCCCTTTTGTACCAAGACCAGAGAGGCTGGAAGAACAGAAAATGGACGATAATCCCACAGCTCCTACAGAAAACTAGAATGAAGCTTAAGAAACAGTTAAAGTTCGAGGCCAGCCTGGTCTCCAGAGTGAGTGCCAGGATAGGCTCCAAAGCTAAACAGGGAAACCCTGTCTGGAAAAACCAAAAACAGTTAAAGCAGAAGGCAATTTATCTTAATTGAAAAAAAAAAAAAAAAACGTTTTCAGTTCAAAATGATGAGGCATTGTACATTAAGTATAGAGTCCAGGACATGTTAAATTTGGCATTCCAGAATAACTCATAGCCAAACTTCCCATGGTCAAAGTAGAAGACTAAATACAGAACTGGGATAAGAGTGAGAGGATGTT